CCAGTTTAACATTTAGAGGGAACTCTTGCAGGAGGGAAAGGATCTTGGATGATGATCAAAGTCATCATGGCAGAAGAGATGCTCCATCGAGTGTTGCAGTCCTAAGCCGTGTAAGGCTTTATAAATCAAAACTACGAGAATTGGGCTCAGAAACAAACTGCAAATTTGTCTTGTTTACCTCTAAGCACGCAGTCAAAAATAGCACAAATGTTGCTTCCTGATTACAATAGTTGTGTGCAAGAAATTCTAAAATGCAACGAGCATCAAAGGTTGCTACACTTATGAATATTGCAGTGAGCCCTGTGTCTGGTGCTGGATTATAACCACTGATCATTTTTCCTTTGGGTGCCTCAGTGCTCTGAATATGATCCTGCAGAGATTTTGTCTAATGTCATGGCAAATTAAAATCACCCACTTTCACATTCAGCTCACTCCCAGATGATGGTCTCTCAAGCTTTCATAGGCAAGGAAGTACAGCTGAGCCAACGAAATACGCATCCCTGGAGGACTGCTCTCTCTCTCCTTTTCCTTCCAAGACACATCTCTGAGTAAAGCACTTCATTAACTATGCAGGCTGTTTCATTGCCAACATCCCTCCCTGCATTCTCAGCTAGTGCCACAGTTGGAAGATGGAGTCAAGAGTGATTGAAAGGTTGAAGACTGGGCAGGAAAACTGAAGTCTCAGCTCAAGTGTTTCATTGCTCCTAGGCAGAGATGACTGGGGAGAAAAGTTATTTGGCAATTGTATGTCATGTAGAGCACTCAGGTTGGGGAAAAAGTAGTAGCAGCCACTCATTTTCCAGCCAAAAGAAGGTATCTTTTGTTCCTGCTGGGTGTCCAACACTGATGTTTTTCTCCCTGCAGAGGAAAAGATGCAAATTCACAAAGCCTTTCCTTTCAAAGAAAAACTGGTAGGAGGATTTTGAGTAAGAAAACATTCTGGACAAGAAGGGGTTAAGTACCTTGTTCCATCAGCCAATTTTCCACTTAATGCCACTTTTCTTCTTCTTGTTTAAGGCCAAGACAACATTATATGCAAGTACATATCAGCTGTAGTTTTGCCTCTGTTTATAGGGCTGCCCTGACCAATTTTGGTTTAACAATAAAGAATGGACAGAAATAAAGGCTGAGACTTGAAATTGTCCATTGGCAACACCTGGACAGCAGACTGACTAGTTGCATAGTCACCTAGTTGTAGGGTTCTGCACAATGGTTGGATATCCTGCTTTTTTATTTACTTTATATTATCTATCAAAATGTGTATCTACACATATAAATTAGTAAATGCAGATAATATGCAAAGTAATTATTCTTCCATCCTCTTTTTTGGTTGTAAATTTCCTCTTTTTGGCTA